AGGAATAGCTTTAGGAACTGCTTGATAAGGGGTTTATTCGACCTAGTGTGTCGCATTAGGGTGCGCCTATTCTATTTGTAAAGAAGAAGGATGGCACGATGAGAATATGTATTGATTATAGGCAGTTGAACAAAGTTACAATCAAGAACAAGTATCTTTTGCCTCGTATCGATGATTTATTTGACCAGCTTCAGGGAGCGAGAGTGTTCTCCAAGATTGATCTCCGTTAAGGTTATCACTAGGGTAAGATCAGGGACTCAAATATTCTTAAGACAACTTTCAGGACTCGATATGGTCATTATGAGTTCCTTGTGATGTCTTTTGGGCTGACCAATGCCCCAGCATCGTTCATGCATTTGATGAACAATGTGTTTTGGCCTTAACTTGACTCATTCGTGATTGTTTTCATTGATGATATTTTGGTATACTCACGTAGTCAGGAGGAGCACACTGAGTATCTGAGAGTTGTGTTTCAGAGATTGAGGGAGGAGAAGCTTTATGCGAAGTTCTCCAAATGTGAGTTTTGGCTCGGTTCAGTGGCTTTATTGGGGCACGTGGTGTCTAATGAGGGTATTCAAGTTAATCCTAAGAAGATAGAGGCAGTTCAGAGTTGGCCAAGACCGTCCTCAGCCACAGATATTCGCAGCTTTCTTGTTTGGCAGGTTATTACCGTCGGTTCGTTCAGGGATTTTCATCTATAGCATCACCCTTGACCAAATTGACTCAAAAGGGTTCTCCATTCAGGTGGTCGGATGACTGTGAGGAGAGCTTTCAGAAGCTCAAGACTGCCTTGACCACAGTTTTAGTGTTAGTTTTGCCATCAGCTTCAAGTTCATATACAGTATATTGTGATGCTTCAAGAGTGGGTATTGGGTGTGTGTTGATGCAGGACGATAGAGTTATTGCTTATGCTTCTCGTCAGTTGAAGCCCATGAGAAGAACTACCTTGTTCATGATTTGGACTTGGCTGTCATTGTTCACGCATTGATAATTTGTAGGCATTATCTTTATAGTGTGTCTTGTGAGGCGTATTTGATTGAAAACTGTTTGATATCATTATGTTATGGGAAGTATTACCATGTTTTGGGCTGAATGCTATATTTGGGCTTCGTGCCAACTGTTTTGGACCCTTAGGGGTTTTTACTACTATTCCTCACCGTTTTGACTTTATATTTGTACTCAGTCATGTAGTTTCCTACTGTTTTCATAACTCAGCCATATTTACTCTGTTTTGATATTTTAAATGATATTTTGGGTTGAGCATCATGTTTTACTGTTGCCCGAGTGGCTCGAGAGATTTCTGTCTGAGTGAGGCCAAGGGCCTGTATTGTGAGGATATTATGGGATCCGGCTGCACGCCGCAGCAGGTTGTTACTGATTCATATTTATGAGGCCAAAGGCCTGATTTGTAATCCAACGAGGTGGCTTGTTATTAGGCCGAGGGCCTGTTTGATTATGCCACGAGATGTCTTGTTATAGCGTTTGGGCTGTAGGAACCCCTCTGGAGTCTGAACACCCCAAGTGAGCACGAGTACCCAGTGTAAGATGTGATATTGCCTAAGGGGCTATTGTTGTTTCATGTTATTGCCCGAAGGGCTGATTAGGAGTGACTGTGAGATAGCCCGAGGTGCTGGTTCTATTGATATTTTACCCGAAGGGCGGTTGTGGTACATGTTTTGCCCGAGGGGCTGTTTACGTTTCAATTTTTTTTTTCTCACTATTTTCATCACTCGTTTGAAACTATTGAAAGATGTTTTAAAAAGGTTTTACTGAACTGAGATATTTTTACGAGTTTTATTGCTTTACTGCATTATTCTGGACTTATACTATTTTGTTGTAGCGTTATGCTGTGGTTTACGTATTTTCTTATTGCTCAGCTACGTTTACTTTTATTACTTACTGAGTTGGCGTACTCACATTACTCCCTGCACCCTGTGTGCGAATCTAGGAGTCTCGGGTTGTGATTGCGAGTATTGATCAGCTTTCCAGCAGGTATCCGGAGTCGACTAGGTAGTTGCTTGGCGTTCACAGCCTAGTGTTTCTCCTTCCTATCTTATTCAGCTTTGTATTAGTATTTGCTTTTCAGACTATGTTGTCTTTTCTTATTCCTAGACGATTGTAGTTGCTCATGACTGGTGACACCCCGATATCGGGCTGTGTTTTATTTTCGCACTATTTATTCTACCTTATTCTATGGGATTTTAGCTAATTTATGGTTTTAAATGACTTATTATGAACATATAGTCGATTTTGGGGTTTATGTCGACTGGCTTAGTTTCACAATAGGCGCCATCACGACTGGGTCCGTTTGGGGTCGTGACAACTGTAGAAGGTCAAGATCATCATAATACCTTTCCCAACCAAGAGAATAAATTTTCCTTTCAAGTACTACATAGGATGTGATGACTTCATTACTTGGAACATGAACTAACACTTTTCGACGACCACTTGAGCCTTAACAATCTTCAAGTCTAATTCACAAGAAACATGAATTAAAACTAAGGAAAGTGACAGATTTTGGGCAAAATTTTCATACAAAGTTATACTGCATAATAGCAACGGGATTTGCAATTATAAGAGAGCACGGTACAATATTTCTCAAGAACATCATACATATTTTCCCTACTTCAATTTGTTGTTATGTGTTGTCGCAATCAACGGGTGTTAAAGGAATTGTCAAGAAAATCGGTTCAGGTATGTTAAGGCTATCTCTCCTTTCTTTTAGCATGATCTATACGGCATGAACGAAACAAGAAAATGCCCAACTTCCATAAATGACTCTATTCATAGAAGTATTAGAGGTGTCTATCTTCTTGATTCCCCATGTGTCATATTATTCTATCATATGTTCATGGGTCTCAGAAAATACGTAAGTTGATAAAGTCTATTTCATGATATTAATCAGAGGCATAATGGTCTTATGACGTTCCGAAATATTTTATTGATGTACTTCTCATGCATTGCATTCATTTATACATGTACATTTACTCATGACCAAACGACATTATATACATGTATATATATGTATAAATATGTATATGGGATATGAAAAAAGGTTACGACGTTATATACGCACCACCGCCTGATCAGCTGGTATACGCTGATGATTTTGCCCATCGTGGTCGAGATGATATGATGGGATGCCTTCAGAGGCTTGATGATGTTATGAGCACATGTACCTACCTATGCATGACATCACATTCATACGCATATACATGACACCATAAGTATTTTATGATTTGTAGAGTTATCCGGACTTACATGCCGAGTCTTTTACTCCATATTTCTTTCATGTCTATTATTTACTGATTTTCATCCCTTGCGTACTCGGTACATTATTTGTACTGACGTCCCTTTTGCATAGGGACGCTGCGTTTCATGCTCGCAGGTCTCGATAGACAGGTTAAAAGTCCTCCGAGTAGGCTATCAGCTCAACGGAAGGTGTTGGTGCGCTTCATTTGCTCCGGAGTTACTTCTTTGGTCAGTATGATTAGTACATGTATTGATTGGTATGACAGGGCCCTGTCCCGACCTTTAAGACATTTATGTATTCTTAGAGACTTGTAGATATATGTCGTGTACGTGAAAGATTGTACGGCCTTGTCGGTCTATGTTCAGTGTAGTGATCATTTTGGTCTCATAGGCGAGTATGTCATATATATAAGTTTGTATTCCCTCATGTTTTATTTCGGTTCATTCACCTATGATAGAATGATACGAAATATACGTTACGTTGGTACTCGGTTGAGTAAGGTACCGGGTGCCCGTCGCGGCCCATCAATTTGGGTCGTGACAAGAAACTGTGCTCTTACAAGTGTGTCTAGTATATACCTATGAAAAAAACGAAAAATAGAAATATCATATTAAGAAAGATAATAAAAACTTATAACAATAGAATTTAATTTTTTGGGGTTGAAGCTTAATAATTAATATCAAAATAAATCAATCTATGAGAGTTCCGTTGTTTTACTTTACGTCAATACTTGAAAACATTCAACAGAATAAATAGAATGTGCAATTCATGCTCTAATATTTTGGTTTGAGAAAAAGAAAAGCATAAGTACAAAGAAGAATCAAGAACATAAAACCTTAAAAGGAAATTAAAGTGTAATATGCACCATATCTGATATCTCCTTTCTTAACATGTCCTTTTTGGATAGTTCTTTCCTTCTATAAAACTTTTGTGCATTTTTTCTCCACCAACTTCAATCTTTTATAAAAAGGATTAAGCTATACATTAATTACTAGTAATAAAAATTTGGGGCCTCATGAGCTTGGGGCCTAAAGCAAATGCTCTATTTGCTTGGTCTTTCAGCTGCCCCTGAATCTAATATATCGAATTTAAGCTCTGAATATGAAATCGTCTTTGTTAGAGAACGTTTTATCTTATAATATAGGATTTTCCGACGTAATGTCGAATTTAGTGGGGTCTCAATATCTGTCCGGAATACTGAACGATTTTCCTTTTAAAAAAAAAAAAAAAGAGACAGCACCAGAATGAGCACCGTCGAATTGAATTTCTAACTAGCATTAATTATTCATCTATCATGAACTGCGGCGTGATAATTGTTCATGGAGCTTTGACTTTGAGCAATATATGCTTTCGTCCTACGTTTGGTGAACCAAGTCATTTATTAATTTACTTCTAAGTCATTTTTTATTAACAAATAAAGTAGGTAATTTGTTATCAATTCTTTAAATCACCCTAAGAAAAAAGAAAAAAAAAACAATTGCGTATGCGTTGGTTAAAGGCACTTAATTCAACTATTTTTTTTATATTGAGAATCTTCTTTCATAATCAGAATTTTCCAAGCCAAATATTCCACAAATAAATAAATAAATAAATATATATATTGAACAACACCTTTTCATACAAATTATCTTTTATCCAAGTCCTAGAAGCAATCATACAAAATTATATTAAAAATATCATTACATAATAGTATTTGTTAGTTGCCCCTTGAAGTTGGCATAATTATAAGAGAGAATACGCATTTAAAATTTTGCGAGCTTGCCTATAAATTTGGATACTTGCAACTTTTTAAGAGGCAAATAGGGAAAAAAAGATCAAAGTTGAGATTTGAGAGTTTAGAGATGGCAGCAAACTCCACCCCAGTTCCTCTCCTTACTCCTTACAAAATGGGGAGATTCGAGCTCTCTCATAGGTTCGTACTGTGTAGTTTTTTGCCATGGCGAAATTAAAATTTCGCTAAGAATATTTAACATTTAATATATATTTGACTTATATACACTGTGTATAATATTTTGGCGTGAAAATTTATATTTGACTTATATGAACAGTGTATAACATTTTGGCGAATTGTTTTCAGTTTACACATATATCTACTTCTCAATTTATTTTGCTTTCCTTTTTTACTTTTGCATGATAGAGCCACTGAAGCATGTATTGTTTTGTTTGATTTTGCAGAGCAGTGATGCCACCAATGACAAGGAACAGATCATACAATAATACTCCACAACCACATGCTATTGAATATTATGCTCAAAGAGCTAGTGAGGGGGGTTTTCTCATTTCTGAATCAGCTAGTGCCTCTGATATCTCCAAAAGGTAAGTAGTTTTCTGTAATAAAAAAACAACTCAATTATGTCATATATATAACAAAAAACAAAAAACACAAGAAAATATTTTATTCGATCCTGTAAAACACAAATAGACTGTTGCCATATGTACAAAATTACCGTAATAAAAATTCACATAGTCGACCTTAATTAACTACTACGTAGGATTAAATCTTAAGTTGTTGTATTTGAAGGTCCCCAAATATGCCTGGAATTTGGACAGAAGATCAAAAAGAGGCTTGGAAACCTATTGTTGACTCAGTTCATGGTAAAGGTTGTATCTTCTTCTGTCAAATTTGGCATCCAGGGCGCCTGTCCGACTCAAACCTCAACAATTTCATTTTTGGTTAGGGTTTTGTTGCAGGTAATAAATTTTTTAACTTGAATTTCATAGTTGAGGGTATTGATATAATCTCTTTATATGGTCTTAAATAATCAGCACATCTTCAGCAAGAATTGTGGTACCTAATGTTGTAGCATGTTATGTTATCCACGCTCCAGATATCCAAACTTTTTGGTGGCGGGATAGGGTGGGGAAGTGCTAGCTAGAGTTCTCCCGCATTGGTTAAGGATAAGTTGTGTAGTCTTTTTGTATAATCTCGAACAATCTTCACCTCTTCAACTTGTTCTTGTGATTGTGTAGCACCTGATGATAGTGTGTACGCCAAACCGACACCAAGGCAACTAAGCGCTAATGAAATCCCTTTCATTGTCGATGATTTTAGAATTGCAGCTCGCAATGCTATTGAAGCTGGTGAGTAATCTATTAATTGAGGATTAACTACATAGAAAATCATTCAACGTGTGGTATAACTAATAGTAAAATCGCCAAACTTATTTTTCTCACAATAAAATCACTCAAATTTCACTTAATTTCCTAAATTATCATTCTACCAATGCAAAAATTCAATTAAATTGGCTGAAAATCGCCCTATTCCCCTGAGTTATTCAATCTTGAACCATACTTCAATCAGGCAAACCTATCTTATAAGTTACTAAAACAAATAGCTTTTGCTTAAACTCTTTATATTGTTGAATTTGGCAAAACATTTTGTTCCACATCGGTGGGAAAAGAAGGGTTGGGAGGATTTTCCCCCTATAAAAGAAGGTTTGCTCAAACTCTTTATATTGTTGAATTTGGCAAAACATTTTGTTCCACATCGGTGGGAAAAGAAGGGTTGGGGGGATTTTCCCCCTATAAAAGAAAGTTTAATGTTTAGGATTTAGACACACCTCTCATTTGCCTTCTCATCTGTTTAAGGCATTTGTATTTCTCTCTTTAGTATTATTTCACTTGTATTTTTGGAGTGAAATAAAATATTGGTTGTGTCCGAGGAGTAGGCAAAATTAGCCGAACCTCGTAAATTCTGGTGTTCCCTTTATTGTTGCTTTATTGTCTTATTCATTATTTGGTGGCTGTCATAATTTTTGGTATAGTAGTTGTGACTTATTCACACTATATACATTTGGCTTCCGCAACAATTGGTATCAGAGCCAAGGTACTGTCTAAGTATGCTCTGTGGTTGCAGCATAGTCTGATCTTCCACATCAGAAAAGATTTATCTTGGTAACTGAGTCAAGGTTCTGTCTGAGTATGCTCTGTGGTTGCAGCTTAGTCTGATCTTCCATACCAGAAAGGAAATAATCTTGATTGTGTCGTCAGCTATTAAATAATATTTGTGTCAAAGATGGGAGACAATAAACAANAGGATTTTCCCCCTATAAAAGAAGGTTTGCTCAAACTCTTTATATTGTTGAATTTGGCAAAACATTTTGTTCCACATCGGTGGGAAAAGAAGGGTTGGGGGGATTTTCCCCCTATAAAAGAAAGTTTAATGTTTAGGATTTAGACACACCTCTCATTTGCCTTCTCATCTGTTTAAGGCATTTGTATTT